TTTTAGCACTTTTAAGAATAAATGAAAAATGCTTATAATAAATTTTGATTGCATTGTTTGCTATTAGTTAAAGGGAGTTTATGATTCTTTGTGAAAAATTGATTATATGTTCAAATAAATTTTAATGATAAATTTGATTGATTGAACATAGTTAATTTTTGGTAATATGAGTTGCCAATACCACTAAAGAAAATTAATTTAGCATTTTGAGTGTTTAAAATCAAATTTTAGCAGTTTTAGTGCAAAGGGAATCGATACCCCCTTGAAGAGGAATCGATTCCCCCTTGAGGGAATCGATACCCCCCACGGGTTCTGGATATACCACGACTAGAAAACCCATTCTCTCAAAACCTCTCTTCTTTCTTAAACATCGTTCATCCTCTCTTTCTCTCTAAATCTCCATTTTTGCCAAAATCATCAAATACAAGTCGGAATTAGATTGTTCTTCAACTTCTAATCCTTGCAAACAACATCACATTCTCATAAAATCTAAATTTTCAAGGTAATATTTCAAAATCCTCTATTTCATTGATTTTTGAACTTAGGACTAGTTTTGATTAGTTCTAAGATGAACATTACATCGGGCATTGGTTATATGATGATTTTACAACCAATTTCGTCAAAAACACTCAATTTTTCAAAACTATCTTTAAATTTAGAAATAAAAAAAATCAAAAATTGTTGTTTTAATTAATGTTTTTGATTCAATTATGTTTTCATAAAAACTATATGTATTATGATTTTCAAACATTATTTTCCAAATAGTTTTTCAAAACATTGCCCTTTAGGATTCGGTTTAGAGAACCTTGAAATATTGAGGACTCATTTGAGTTTTGGGTTTGATTATATTACATACATGTGTTTAAATTTGAAGGTTACATATTCTATTCTGACTCTTAAACCATGTCAAATCCTAAACGAACTAGGACATTGTCTAGTAGCTCAAGTCAAAATCGACCTCTTATTCCTCCACCCAATCCAAATAACCCAAATATGACCATTATGAACTCTTGTTTCAACGTACCTGGTTGGGGACAAGATCTATACCATATGTACCATACTTGTTTTGAGTCATACAAAACCTGGGAAGAGCGTATCCCTTCGATCCAAGCTATAGAAGATATGGACTTCCAATATCTTCCTACTCTTAAATCCTAGAAGTTTGATAAACTCTTTACACTTAAACCTTTGGTTTATCATCAATTAGTCCGTATTTTTCTATTCCAATGTGGTATGTGTCCAAAACGAGCGTCGATCTGAAACTATAGGAATTCAATCCTATCTTTTAGGATAATTCATTTTTATTGACTCCGGCACAATCGCTACCCATTTTGGACTAGATAACTCAGGTTTAATGAAAAAGAGACTGTGGATTCACCCTATAAGTCTAAGGATAGTGAGAGTACCCTAAGAACTCATCGTGATAGATTCCTTCTTTATTTGATCTCTTGGTGGTTTAGACCATCCGAAGGTAGGTACTCCTCCCTTAGGAACATAGATATATGGTGGATATATTGTATCCAACATAAAAAGAAGATTAATCTGCCACATATCATCTTTAGTGAGTTTCCATAAACATTGTTCCTTCCAAGAATATAGAAACCTTGGTTTATGGTTGTCTCCTTAGTAATTTGTTTATCAAACTCGGTCTTAGGGTCAATGGGTTTATCGTCCCGAACTCAGAACTTTTAATTGTGAAATATTTTGATGTTAATGGATTGTTTTATTTTGGGTGTTTGAATTTGTTGAATAATTGGATATTTGAACTTACATGCTTATATATTTGGTTTGATTTTCACTTTCATTTTGAGCTTAATGTTTATTTTTGCATCATTTACATATTAGTTGCATTATGACCAATTTTTGCCATTTCACATTGTTTATGAATATTGAATTATGGAACTAATGGCTAATCTTTCTCTTGATTATGATCTTAGCAGCTTACGCTATATTTAGTTATCAATTGGCTAATTATTTTTCAAAAACTTGTTTAAAATATTTTAAAGGTCTTTTTGATTTAACAAAAAAGGGGAGAAATATTAAAGTGTTTTTAAAGGGGAGAAGTGTTAGAATAAGGGGGAGTAATTTCAAAACTTGATTTCAAAATCTTAAAATTACTAAAATGTTTTGTTATATCAAAAACGGGGATATTGTTGAAAACATTTTGATATTTCGATATAACAAATTAAGTTAAATGAATTTTAAGATTTTCCAAAAGATTTTTCGAGTATATTCGATATAATTATTCGAATATCAAAATATTACTCCAAATCTTTCAAATGTCATTTTTAAATCTTACTCAAGTGTAAAATTAAGTTTTAATCTTAAAATAATTTCAAAACAATTTTACAAAGTATTTCAAACAATTTCAAAGCCAAAAATTCCAGATTGTCCAGAGGGAACCGATTCCCCTGAATGGTTTGGCTCCGAGAAAAACAAAATGCTCGGAGGGAACTGATTCCCCCCTAAGGGGGTACCGATTCCCCCTGTTCAACGGTCGAAATATTTGAATTTTATACTTAGGGAACCGATCCCTATAAGGGGGTATTGATTCCCCCACGCTCCAAGCTGTTTTATTAATGATTTTCACAGTTAAACGGCTCCATTGACTCCACTAATCATCCCCAACGTTCAGAATCAATTGAGGGAGTATTTAAACAAGTTCTGAAGCCTTTGATCAACAAGAAACCATAGAGAAACAAGAGAGAAAGCATCAAACACAAAGTTTGTGCAAATCAAGCCAATTTTGCTTTCAAGAACACCATTTTTGCTCATTTGTAATTATTTTTTAGTGTTCTTTTCTTGTTCTAGAATTGTGCAAACATCTTACCTTGTGAGGTTTTCCTTGTAAGTTTGCAAATTTGTGTATTTCTCTTTGAAAAGAGTGTGCTCAAGAATTTGGGGTATAATTCTTGAGGGAGTTGTAAGGTTACTCTTTGACCTCAAAAGAAAGAACAAATTAGTGAATTTGTTGGAAAATCCTTAGTGTGGATAGCTAAGGTAGTGGACGTAGACTTTGGTTGAGAAAGTCGAACCACTCTAAATCGTTGTGCAAATATTTTCAATTTTCTGCAAAAGCTTCCACCAAAATTTTTATTGCCAATTCACCCCCCTCATGGCCAATTCCATCGATCGATTAACTCAACACATTGAAATCCAACTTAGGTAGATTCGACCAAAGGGAAAGAAATTAGGGGAAAATATGTAAAAATTTCAGAAGGGTTAGAATTGCTATAAGAATGATTCTGCGTGCTTAAAATTGTGTTTTGGGACCGATTTAGAACTTTGTTAAGATAGAAGCACCTTTTTCTCATTCTATGAGAAATTGAACGATTAAGATGCAAAAGTTTGAAAATTGGTGTATTATGTTGAATTTAACGTTAGAAGGTTCAATTGGATCATTTTGGAAGGTTGCATAAATTTGAGGACCAAAACGTAAATCTTGGAGAATTTGGGAATTAAATGGTAATTAAGTAAATGTTGGTGTACTACTTTTTAAAATATTGCTAGAATGTTTAAATATGATGGTTGATATGCAATTAAAGTAATGAGAAAAGGTTGGAAGTTTTCAAAATATTGGAATATAATTTAAACAAAGGTTTATGGATGGGTTAAAGGTGAAATTGTGAAAGTTAGGTGATTTATTGTTATGGATAAATATTTCAAGGACTTGAAATGTTATTTTGAAAATTTTAAAGTTAACATTAATCATGTGAAAGGAAATTAGTATCAAATATGAATTAATTGCATTTTTAGCAATTTTTATGCTATTGTACGCCTATCATGTTAGTAGAAAACACTAACACGTGCTTTGAAATGCTTATTTTTGTAATTGACTTTCATGTAGATTACGACGATAAACGAGATCAAAACAAGCCAAAAGAAAAGTGAAAAGTTAAAGAGTAAAGCGTATCGTTAGTGAAAAATTAGCTAGCGAGACATATAAGGTGAATGCATCTTACATATAAGCGTAACCGTGCATACTCACTTGTGTACATTGGGCTATGATTTATAAATTTCAAAGTACAGAATATATGAATTGAATATGAAATGTTTATTTTACGGATATATGTAAAAGGATTTACTTTGAATTGTCAATTTTATATGTTCAAATATTTTATATGATTATTTTTATAGTATTTTGATTCTTTATGATGATTTACATATTGATATATTTGTATAAGATATTTACAGTACTTGATTTTTATGAAATTTTCATATATTGAAATGTTTTACTATAATTTATATATGTGTCACTAAGTTTTTACTTAGTGCGTGAGTATTTCAGGCATAGGTGAAGGAAAAGAAGAGTCTACGGAGTGAGGAGCATAGCAGACATCACTTTTGAAATTATCATCCAATATCAGTATGAACATATTTTAATGCTACTTTTGACTTAATTACTGACATGTATATGATAGAAGTTGTTGCTCTTGCATGATAGTTTAAAAATGGTTTGTAGTATAAAAATAATATCGACTTAAGATGGGCATTACTAGATATGAATAGTATTTTACATGAATAACAATTATTATATTATATTATATTTGCTATCAAAATGATTTTTAAATTATGCAGATTTAGGCAATTTTGTTTTTGATGTGAAATAGTATTGAGCTACCTAGTTGTTGCATGAGAACAGACTTGAAGTAGATGTTAAAATATTATATTATAAATGTTATGCTATTTACTAGTTTTGTATTACAAATTAAATTTGAAAAATTTAAAGAAGCAAAATTTTATTTATTTTTAATAAAGAATTGTTTTGAATAATTGATGTGACATCTCTGACTCATATTCGGTCGGATATAAGAAAGGGATGTTATATTTAATTGCATCAGAGCTGAAGTTTTAGTTGATTCTTGGCCTAAACCAAAATTATTTTGTATTAAAAAGTTGTACATGCCACTGGGGGTCAATGTTACTGTTCGGCATGGTTATGTGATTTGATTATTGATGCTGATACTTACTAATGCATATTTGAAATGTGTCTATTTTAGATGTCTGAAACTGCGGGTTCATGTGGCACGACCAATCTGGTGGTTCCAATAGGAACTGATAATGGGAGTAATGAGGTAAATAACGAACCTCCGCTCAGTTTGAATAGCAAGGAGCATCGACACAACAAGGATTGCCTGTGCAAGATCAAGGAACTTTCCCTCAAGCCTTAGATGCCATCTTGGGACAATATCAGCCGCCGCCTCCTCAATCTGCTCCTCCAACCCCTCGAATGTCAGTTGCAAATGAATTAAATAGTTCGGGAGCTCTAGAGTTTAAAGGAGAGGTCAGTGAGGGTATGGTAGCAGCAGATTTATGGTTAAGTGATGTCATATTGGATGGATTTCACTACACGAATCAAGTGAAATTGGATGGAGCCATGTCATTGCTTAGAGGCCAAGCTCGTATATGGTAATACGACGATGTGCATGTCTTCCGAACAAGTTACCTGACAATTCTTTTTGGAAGAGTATAAGAATAAATATATCGAGGATCAATTTATTAGGCAAATGAAGAAGGAATTCCTCAGTTTAAAGCAAGGCAACTGGACAGTCTATGAGTATGAGTTCAATAAATTAAGTCTGTTTGCAGCGGAGTTGATTCCCCCTGAAAAGGACTGTTGTGATTAGTTTATCGAAGGCTTACGTCCTAGGCTGAAAGAGTTCATGTTGGCGTTAAATCTTCCCACATTACAGGAGGTGGTAAACATGGTCAAAGCTTTATAAAGAGTTTAGAATGAAAAATGGGAAGAGTAGAGAGTCCATGCACTAAAAAGATCGCACACGTCTCCACCCTCAATTCAGTCAAAGAAAGTTAAAAGTTTTGGTTCCCAATACCATGACAAATATAAATCTTCTATTTCCAATAATAGAGGAGATAATTCTGGAAAAACCTGACAATCTCATACAACAACTAATGGAGCAGACAAATCAACTAAGAGTCAGTATCGGACACGTAATATTTACGGTGAAAATCACCCTAGAATGTGCCGAGTGATTTTCGGAGATTGTTTCAAATGTGGTGATACTGGCCACTTTATGAGAGACTGTCATATGATAATTGGAGATAGATCAGGATAGACAGAAAGATGTTTTGTAGTGTCCCAACGAGGTAGAGACTGGGGTAGAGAAAAATGACCATTTAAGTCTGCTTCACAGCCTAGTTTGCATCCTTCAGCCAGAGTTTACAACACCAAGACTGATGAGGATCGGGATAAACTAGATATTATTACATGTACATCTATCTTTATGATGAATTGTATTTGTTTTGATTGATCCTGGTTCAACACACTCGTATCTAAGTATTAAGTTGACAAAAGAAAGGAGCATTTTGCTAGAACCCATTTCGATTGGTATAGTGGCGAAAAATCTGTTAGGCTAGAATGCGAGGGTTAGTCGAATATTTAAAAGATCCCCGCTAAAGATTTAAGAAATTGAATTTTCGGTGAACTTGATGGAAGTAACTTCCGAGAAACTCGAGATAATCTTGAATATGGATTGGTTATCCCCCTAACCATGTCATTGTAACTTGTTGTTTAAAGCGATTAATACTCATGAACTTGGAGAGTTATGAAATAGCATAATATTTAGTAAAAGTGTAAAATCATTGTCTAATGTGATTTCAGCAGTAACTGTCAAAAGTTATTGCTATAAGATTATCAAGCTTTCTTAGCTAACGTAGTGGATACTCAAACTTCAGAAATTAAGTCAGAAGATATTTTGACTGCTAGAGAGTATCCAGATGTGTTTTCAAGGGAATTATCTGGTTTACCTCTTGATTGAAGGTGGAATTTAAGATAGAAATACTATCGGGTACTGCATCTATATTCATGGCCCCATATAGTATGGCACAACCGAGTTAAAGAAATTAAAAACATAATTACAAGAATTGTTAGAATGGGGATTCATAAGGTTGGATGTGTTTCCTTGGGGCACATCAGTGTTGTTTATGAAAAGAAAAGATGTATCATTTATTTAGATTGAGAAGTGTCAAGAAAGTTTCAAGATACTCGATATACTATTAACAGAAGCTACAATGTTAGCACAACTAGAATTTGAAAAGGAAAGTTGAACTCGATATTTATTGATCCATATGACATTATGAAAAGAGTTAGTCTAGTGGTCTATCAATTAGTGTTAACCCGGAAATAAAAGACGATGTTGTGTAAGGATAAGATGAAATAGCGGAATCTTTATCTTTTAGATCAAGTATATACTGAAATTCGAGGATGAATTTTATTAAGGGGCAGAATTGTAATACCTAAAATTTTGGCAAGTGGCCAAAATCTAAATTTTAAAAGTTTAGTGGCTAAAGTAAAAACTTCAGAAAAGTTCAAGGATCAAAGTGGTAATTTTCCCAAAAAGATATTTTATCCCATAAATGAATAGTTCATCCTTAATAATATAGAGTTTCTATGAAATTCAAATTTTGATCCGGATTTTGTATAAAAAGCTATGAAGTAAAAAAGTTTGGCAAAGTATTTGAATAACTAGATCGAATCAAAAATTTAGGAAAATTTGAAGAATGGTATTACGAGGTTAATAATATTATTTCCATATTTTATTAAATTATAATTTAACATGGATCATTGGATTTAAGTTGAAATTTCATGTTAAATCGGGATCGTTATAATAAAGTGACTACATTGTAATTTTGTAAAAGTGTAAAAGGTGAATATGGAAGTTAATAAAGTATTGTTTTATATTGACATGACGAGGTAAGGAATGATGTCATGATAATAGCATGGTGGAAATTATTAAGATTTAGTAATGGTAGATAGGTAAATTCAAATTAAATGAATTTTAGCTTTAAAAGATAAACATTAAGAGATTTTTTGTTAAAAAAAAATCAAGAAGACTCCTTCATCATCTTCTCTTAGCCGTGTACACCGTAGCCAAAGGTGAGCAAGCTTTCTGTTTCATTTTTAAGCCATTTTATTAGATTTTCTATTAAGCCATGAAATAGAAAAATAATCTACATCAAATTCTTTACAAATTTGTGTAAATATTTCATGTTTCCATGACTGGAGTGGTGATTTCATGAAAAATGGTGGTTGAAGGGGAAGTTTAAATTTGGTGATTTAATGATGGATTTTTATGTTAATGATGTTATAGAATCAATAACAAGCTTATAGGGTGATTGAAAACACTTACAAATCCTTATATAAGCATTCAACCACCTTGGCAATTCATGGTGAAATGTTGATTTTGGTTAGTTTTTGATATGGAAATAATTGAAAATACAAGGTAAGGATACTTAGATGATGAATTCATGCTTGAATTAAATTGAAAATCATTTAAGGCAAACTTAGGAAAATTCGACCAAAGGGAAAGAAATTAGGGGAAAATATGTAAAAAAATTCCTAAGGGTTAGAACTGTTATAAAAATGATTCTACATGCTTTGAATTGTGTTTTGGAGCAATTTGAAACTTTGTTAAGTTATAAGGACATTTTTGCATGCTTTAAGAAAATGAAGGATTAAGATGCAAAAGTTTGAAAGTTGGTTTATTATGCTGAAATTTAATGTTAGAAGAATATTGTTAGAATGTTTAAATATGACGGTTGATATGCAATTAAAGTGATGAGAAAGACACCATATTGGAAGTTTTTTGAAATATTGGAATATGTTTTAAATAAAGGTTTATTGATGGGTTAAAGGTGAAATTGTGACAGTTAGGTGATTTATTGTTAGGGATAAATATTTCAGGGACTTGAAAGGTTATTTTGAAGAAGTTAAAGTTAACATTAATCATTTGAAAGGAAATTAGTATCGAATATGCATTAATTGCAATTTTAGCAATTGTTATGCTAATATATGTCTATCATGTTACTAAAAAACACTAACATGTGCTTTGAAATATGTATATTTGTAATTGACTTTCATGTAGATTGCAACGATAAAAGAGATCAAAACAAGCCAAAAGAAAAGGGAAAAGTTAAAGAGTAAAGTGTATCGTTAGTGAAGATTAACTAGTAAGGCATATAAGGTGAGTGCTCTTACAAATTTTATATATATGATATGAGGAAGACTTGCAATGAGTCAACCTCGAACGATCGAAAAAGAAAATGTTTTGAAACATATTTTAAAACATATTTTTATATTAGTTTATCAAAATGACATTCATATGCTTTTGTATATGAATTACCCAATACATTTTATATAATATATTACTAAATAGTTTATGGATGACTTTGAGTATGAACTATATCGATAATGAGATTTCTGATACATGAATGATAAATGGTTGATATATAAGTTTGATAAGAGTTTCCCTTTGTATATAGATTGAGTTTGTCTGGTATAGTTGGCATGCCATAGAGGTGGAATATCATATGATGCATGATGCAAATACTAAGAGTATTTGGTGTTATTGTGGCCAACTATTTAGAGTGATTGTATATGGTAAGAGTATTTGATACTATGTTATTTAGGGAATGCAAAACATAGTAAGAGTATTTGGTACTATGATATTCCCTAATATACATGATATTGTTCTACGATACTTGTATTTACAGACACTATAAGTGCTTTATTGGATACTAGTGAATCGTGCATCGTGCATAGTCACTTGTGTACATTGGGCTCTGATTTATAAATGTGCAAAGTATAGAGTACATGAATTGAATATGAAATGTTGATTTTATAGTATATATGTAAAAGGATTAACTTTAAATAGTCAATTTTATATGTTCAAATATTTTATGTGATTATTTTTATAGTATTTTGATTATTTATGATGATTTACATATTCATATATTTTATAAGATATTTACAGTACTTGATTTTTATGAAATTTTCATATATTGCAATGTTTTACTGTATTTTATATATGTCTCTCTAAGTTTTTACTTAGCGTGTTATTGTTTCACGTGTAGGTCAAGGAAAAGAAAAGTCTACATAGTGAGGAGTGTATCAGACATCACTTTTGTAAAATCAAATTATCATCCAGAATCAGTATGAACATATTCTAATGTTACTTTTGACTTAATTACTGGCATGCATATGATAGATGTTGTTGCTCTCACATGATAGTTTAAAAATGGCTTGTAGTATAAAAATTATATTGACTTAAGATTGGTATTTCTATATATAAATAATATTTTACATGAATTGTAGTTTTTAAATTCTATTTTATTTTCTATCGAAATAATTTTTAAATTAAGTAGTTTTTAGACAGTTTTGTTTATGATGTGTAATAATATTTAATTGTCTAGTTGTCAAAATATAATATTATGAATTTTATGTGATTTACTAGTTTTTTTCTTACAAATTTAAATTGGTAAATTTAAAGAAACAAAATTTTATCGATTTTTAATTAGAAATTGTTTTGAATAGTTGATATGACATATATGACCCCTATTCGAGTCATATACGGGAAAGAGGTGTTACTAGTATTGTTAGAAA